CATGTGCCCTTTCCTTGACACCTTGATTGTCTGATTTGGACCATTCTCAGCCATTTTAGAGTCGAAAATAGGAAGCCAACTTTACGCGGGAAGAGGCCCTGCTACGTGTGGATAAAGGTAGAAATCCAACAAAAATACGAAGCGTTAGGACAAGAACTCCTGCCTTCTTTCCCAGATATTTAGGTAACTGCAACGAATATAGAAATGAAACTTACATCACTGTGTAGTGGAATATATGCCCTTTTAGATGACACAAAGAATGCCTGATTTGGACCATTCTCAGTCATTTTAGAGTGGAAAATAGGAAGTCAATTTCATGATAGAAGAGGCACTGCTACGTGTGAATCATAGGAAAAATCAGAGAAAATTCGAAGCAGTCGAATAAGAACTGTTGCCTTCTTTTTCAGATATTTCAATTACTACAACAAATATAGAAGTGAAACTTACATCACTGTGTAGAGGAACATGTGCCCTTTCAGATGACACCTCCATTGCCTGATTTTGACCATTCTCAGTCATTTTAGAGTGGAAAATAGGAAGCCAACTTTACGCGGAAAGAGGCACTACTATTTGTGGACAAAGGTAGAAATCCAACAAAAATACGAAGCATTAGGACAAAAACTGCTGCCTTCTTTTTCAGATATTTCAGTAACTGCAACGAATATAGAAATGAAACGTACATCAATGTGTAGAGGACCATGTGCCCTTTCCAATGATACCTCGATTGCCTGATTTGGACCATTCTCAGTCATTTTAGAGTCGAAAATAGAAAGCCAACTTTACGCTGGAAGAGGCACTGCTACGTGTGGATAATAGAAAAATCAGAGAAAATACGAAGCAATCGAACAAGAACTGTTGCCCCCTTTTTGAGATATTTCAATACCTACAACAAATATAGAAATGAAACTTACATCACTGTGTAGAGGAACATGTACCCTTTCCGATGATAAATTGATTGCCTGATTTGGACCATTGTCAGTCATTTTAGAGTCGAAAATAGAAAGCCAACTTTACGCGGGAAGAGGCACTGCTACTTGTTGACAAAGGTAGAAATCCAACAAAAATACGAAGCATTAGGACAAGAACTCCTGCCTTCTTTGCAAGATATTTCAGTAACTGCAACGAATATAGAAATGAAACTTACATCACTGTGTAGAGGAACATATGCCCTTTCAGATGACACCTCGATTGCCTAATTTTGGACCATTCTCAGTCATTTTAGAGTCAAAAACAGGAAGTCATCTTTACGTATTTTCTCTGATTTTCCTCTGTTTCACACGTAGCATTTCCTCTTCCCGCTTAAAGTTGGCTTCATAATTGCAACTCTAAACTGACTGAGAATGGTCCAAATCAGGCAATCGAGGTGTCATTTGAAAGGGCACGTTTTTCTCTACGCAGTGATGTACGTTTCATTTTTATATTCATTGCAGTTACTGAAATATCTTGCAAAGAAGGCAGGAGTTCTTGTCCTACTGCTTCGTATTTTTGTTGGATTTCTACCACACGTAGCAGTGCGTCTTCCCGCGTAAAGTTGGCGTCATATTTGCGACTCTAAAATGACTGAGAATGGTCCAAATCAGGCAATCCAGGTGTCATCTGAAAGGGCACATGTTCCTCTACACAGTGATGTAAGTTTCATTTCCATATATTTTGTAGTTATTGAAATATCTGAAAAAGAAGGCAACAGTTCTTGTGCGACTGCTTCGTATTTTCTCTGATTTTCTTATGATTCACATGTAGCAGTGCCTCTTCTCTCATGAAATTGACTTCCTATTTTCGACTCTAAAATGACTGAGAATGGTACAAATCAGGCAATCGAGGTATCCTCTGAAAGGGCATAGATCCCTCTACACAGTGATGTTTTATTTCTATATTTCTTGTATTTATTGAAATATCTGAAAAATCTCTTTTTCAGATATTTCAATAACTACAACAAATACAGACATGAAACTTACATCACTGTGTAGAGGAACATGTGCCCTTTCCGATGATATGTCGATTGCCTTATTTGGACCATTCTCAGTCATTTTAGAGTGGAAAATAGGAAGCCAACTTTACGCGGGAAGAGGAAATGCAACGTGTGAATCAAAGGAAAATCAGAGAAAATACGAAGCAGTCGCACAAGAACTGTTGCCTTCTTTTTCAGATATTTCAATAACTACAACAAATACAGACATGAAACTTACATCACTGC